ACATTTGATTTCTCAAATGTTTGTATATAAAACCAGAAACACGGGATGAATATTGTTAACATATCTTCACTGACTTTGCGAAAACTAGAAAAAAAATGTTAGAACTGAGCACATGAGAAACATGTAGCTTGTTTTTTCTAAGATAAAAATGTGCCTTTTTTCATTTTCTTTAAATGCACTTTCCCCTTCTTGCTGGTTTTTCATTTTCTAGCATTTGTATTTCTTAGTTTCACCTCATAAACTCACATGCTTCTGTGGTCATACATAAAAAACCCTATCCCCAGACACCACAGTTAGATAGAAATTAAATTTGCTGGTTGGTTTCACCATTTATTCCACCATTCATCTCAGTGAAGTAAGTATGTTGGTCTCACTACTTTTGCCATCTGGCTTTTTCTCTGCTACTCTCAGTAGTAGTCTAGGGGGCTGATGGAACTACCTGGGATCACCTGCCTATGTCAGGAGAAGGTCAGAGAATTCCAAGTCCTGGAGCTGCATGGATGCTGAAATAAGTTACTTTCTGGGGCTATATTTGTTAGAGCAAAAGCATCAGTCTCTGTATGCATTATCCCCTCCATATTGATCAAAAAGTTCATTTTAATAACATTGGTTCTGTTCATTCCACAGTCTTGTCACTTGAAATGTTTAGATTTTCTTTTAAATTATGTTTTTTCTTTAAATGTTTCTCATATATTATTTTGTTGCATGTGTTCATATAAGCTACTTGAAAAGGTGTTGCCCAACACCTTTTTGTTGGTGGTTGTAGACTAAGCAATATGTAGTTTTTTTAATAAGAACTGGTATCATGAAAGATTATTAAGGAAGAGGAAATATTAGGAAATACCGTGTATAGGTTTTATACTGATGGTACAGCTGAGTGTAGATTTGGACAACACTATATGTTTGATTTGGGGAAGACAGTGGAGAAGACATAAGAAAATTGTATATTTAAACTAGGGCTTTATTAGGCAAGGGGGAAGATAAGAATTTATTCCTACCTCCTACTAGTATGGAAAAGTACCCAGCTTTCAGTTTTAAGTAGGTATCATCTTAGTTGCCTCAGTGTCTCTGGAAGTTGCTGGAATCTTGTTACTTATGGGTGAATTTGAATTCTCTGTGGGGAGAGAAGGATAAGAGGTAGCTGGTTTTCATATGAAAATATCCTGGATTAGATATTTTGTGTTCTAAATCTAGTTAAAGCAATTACATTCATCATCAACATATGGAGACAATGTTTTTGGTATTTTACTGGTATAACAGTTTTTAAGGTCAGGAACATCTATACATGTTTTTTCAGATGATTCCATGATATGCATGACTAGAAACTTCCTGTGAAGAAATTAAGTAAAATATTAAGGAACAAGAAATATTTTCCTTAGACTTGCAAGTACCTATTTGTAACTTACATAAGAGCAGTGGTTCAAAAGAAGAACTTTTCATCTTTCATGGTTGACTCTGAACAAACTGAGCAAATACAACATCATGATCTGCTTGTATATGAAACTATATTTTTACCTGAAGCAGAACTTTTTAGAGTTCACAAACTTGCTATTCATGAAACGCCACCCTGATGCCTGATAGTTTGAAGGCTGATAAAGTATACAGTTGTATGAGCAAGACACCCTTATCTGTGAAGTGAAAAACATGGTGAAGTAGGCTTTGATTTTTGTCAGTGAATTTTTCTACTTGTCTAAATGTATTGTTGCACCTTATAAAAGATTGAGGGGATAAGCTGAGGGTGGTTGTTTTTCTCTGTATCTGTAAATTTGACGTGACTTTAAGCTTATCTCAGGTGACATTATGTTTCCCAGCACTTTTAATTTAATTTGAGAGACTGAGTGGTGCTTTTCTTTCCCAAAGGTTACAATTTGTATTCTGCAGTGATTTCAAAGGGATAGTTTGAAATTCTGCTATCAAAATGCATGGGTTGAAGTGATGCTCTCGACATTAAAGTAGCAGAATTACAGCCTGGAAGAGAAGCTGACACTTTGAGAAATAATGCTCTTAAATTATTTTTTTCCCCTAAAATTTCCTAAGAATATTTGAATTTATGAACTCTTCCTGAAATTGTGGGTCTTTCTATGTTGGTTAAAACCCTTTCTGTTGCTTAATGCAAATTGTCAGCATAAGGAACAAACAGCCTCTGGTGGCTGGATCCTACCAGTTCATTTCTCCTGAATGGGTTTAGTGATGTGTTATCACTGATAATAATCATTCTTTATTGCCTTCTAAAAAACCATGTCAGAAGTCCTTTAGATCCATTCTGGTTCTATCATAGCAATTTCAAGGAGCCTTCATTAAAAAACTGGGGGACAGTTCATTTGCGAGAATTGGTCTATGCTTTGTGAAGCCTTCACATAATTAAAAATTACAGATATACAGTAAGAGAGAATAAATTCACAGGCTCTGTTGCCTTACTCAGATTTGCCCTGAGATAAACACTCTAATTGTTTTTTCATACAGTGTTTCTTAAAACCTGTAAAAGGAAATGCCTCTTTCTGAAGTATATTTAATTTACCAAATGTCTTCTTGTATGTTCAAAGTGTTTTGAGGATTTCTGTAATTCCAAACTTTCTTCCTCAATTTGGTTGCTGTAAATTAGCTGTTAGCCTTTTGCTCTGTATCATACATAAAGAACAAAATTGCTACTGCTCTTCAATGACTCTTTTCCTGGAACAGCAATTTTCAGTGGCTTGGCAATATCAAATAGAATTTCATCGATTAAAGTGGGTGTTTTCTGAAGAAGTCTGTGGATTTTGGTTTGCCTTTCTTTGGTGAGCCATAAATATCACAGATACATAGCAAATCAGGAAAGCATCTAGCAATTACTTTAATATATTGTTAATGACCTTTTAGTGACATGGTTTAGCTGGATTTGCAGTTCAGTTTCCATCCTCTTTTGAAGATGAATGCTGTGTATAATATGTGAGTGAAAAGTCCTGTAGTGCTTGTGATCAAAATAACATGTTCTTTCGGAGAAACAGTCTTTCTGTGTTGGATGCATGTGCCTGGCAGGAGGATACAGAGTGTGTTTTACCCTTCCTCTTTGTCAAGGTGATGTGTCAGTTGGGGTCCTCTTTCTTCAAACTCAGTATATCTAAAGTGACGGCCTTATCCGAATGTATCAAGCTTTTATTCATCCTTCCTTCAGTACTCTCTCTTTCCTTCCCCGTTCTCCTCACCCTTTACTGGTATTGTCTGCCAAAGATCATATATATATATATATATATATATATATGGCTTTTTGAGACAAGACACGTGGTGGTTTAGAGATGTGACAGTGCAAGAATGCTGTTCTGTGTCACACTCTGATGTGCCTCAGTCCGTTGATTTATTTGATAATCTTTGGGTAGTACCTAAAGATACACTCATCTACAAGAAGTAATACATAACATTTTTGTAGTACTTTCAGTGATGTACAAACATGATTCTGATGAAAAGACTGATCTACTTAGTACACTAAATAAATGCTAACAGATATATTTTGTGTTGTTATGGAAGTATAAGTACTGACTGCAGTTTGTGTAATTTCTTTTTGCAACAGAATGCAGTAAGTATGACTTGTTTGCAGTGCTGATTTTGCTGCATGCCAAATTTTAACTGTCTTATCTAGAGCTATGCAAGTTTTGCAATCTTTGATTGATAACTGCAGTTGGTGTGAGGGGCAGTTTGATGTGGCTGAGAAAGTTTGGTGATCAGCTATGATTTTGCTTTACCTAAAACTCAAATGATAAAAGTAATCTGTGCTACAATATTTTCTAATCTGCTTGCGTGTTCTTAATCTCAATTAGCAACCATATCCTTAATTTAAACATTCAAATGATTGCATTTGCCCTTAATCATAAAAATTCTACCACCATAATTTGATCTTCACAGGTAATGTATAGCAGACTTTATTTAATAGTGTATAAAGGCTTAGTGGTCTATTCTGCAAATTTTCAACCTTCCTGAATAACCAAAATGTTCTTCATGACTAGTAATTAGAAAAGAAAACAAAAAAAAAGGAGTGGCAGAGGAGAAAGAACCCCACAACTCCAAAGCCAAGAAGAGAAGACCAGAAGCTGATACCCAAATTTACTCTTGGTTGCAGTTATTTCTGTATATACATGTATGGAATTCTTATGCTAATGACTGACACAAGTACTGGGAAAGTCTAATGAAGCTGCTGTTCCCCATTTCTTTGAAAGGGCCATTTTAAACCAGTCTGCAGAATGGGCACCTGGCCTCCAAACTGCACTCGTTTAAGATAATGGAGATGAAGTGGTAAACCACAGCTTTTACACTGCAATCTTGGCCCTGGTGATGTCATCAGTAAAACACCAGTTGACTTGAGTGAGCGAGGGCTTTACCAGTGGTCTTTGGTTTCTGCAAAGAGTCACACTCATGCTTGCTCCCTAACCCCGTTTAATCAGAATTAGCCTTTTAGAGGATTTTTGGTTGATAAAGTTCTTTGAATTTCCCTCATTTCAGGGGGAAATTACATGAGCAGTCTGTTGGCAAGAAGGAGGTGGGTTGACCTGTGGAGCCAATAGTCTCTTAACCCAGGCACAGCTGCAACCAGAATAGCAGCTTGGGCTGCAGATCTGTAGTGAAATATTGGCAACTAACTGGAAAAGAGCTAATGCTACTGTCATAGTTTTGTTCATCAGAACCCACAGGAGATGACATTTTACATATGGGGACAGATTAGTGCAGGCAAAACTTCTGTTGTTTGTTCCCTGACACCACAGGCGCTTTTATGACCTGTCCCAAAAATGTTAATACAGAGGCATCATGAATATAGCCTACGGAATTTTTGTCCCTCCCAATGCAGAAGGCCTCAGGGAAGGATTTGGTCTAAAATTTCCAAACTAATCTCAATAAAATATTGCTCCAACCATCATAATCACAAAGCTGGCAGGATTAGTTAATAAAGCAGCTTGTTGACTTGCAGTAACTTACTCCAGCTGAGTTCCAGGGTGTTTATGCAACAGCAAACGCAAACATGTTTTGTCTGACAGGACAACAGCTTTGAGCAATTCATTATCAACTACTGTAATGAGAAGTTGCAGCAGATCTTCATTGAACTTACCCTAAAAGAAGAGCAGGAGGAATACATACGAGAGGTAATACTTGAATGGATCTTTCCTTATCCCCTCCTCATCCTGTTGTTCCTGTGAAGATACACAGGCATGTGTGCTGGAGCCTTTTCTTAGGGAACAGTCATTTTCTGGCATGGAGCATGTTTATGTCGGACTGTGTGGTAGTTACATTAAGCAAAAAAAGAGTTGGGTTTGGTTTTGTTTCATGTAATGAGTTCTCCAGGTAAAAACCAGACCCAACTCTCATTCATTGGCAGTGACTAGTAGTTCTGAGCAAGGGCTCGTTTATTAGAAGACTAATACCACTTTCTGTATTAGTGCCACTACCCTACTGCCTGTGTTTTAGATTGCACAGTAGTGTCTGGGATACACCCCAACAGTGGCCACAACTAATCCTGTTTCAAAAGGGGCATGGGTGGGTAAAACAATAGCACACACTATGAAAGAAACTACAAATAGATTTTTGGTTCTGGTTTTTCTTCAGCTGAGTTTTGAAGGGAGCTGTGTCAGCTTTCTGGGTAAGTTTATGATGTGCTTTGGAGCCCAGACTCTGGTGTTTGATGTTACTCTGTGAGTAAACATCGAAGTTTTAATAGGTTTTAGCAGTACTCCCCATGATCTACAGAGCTCAGACAAAATACCAGCTCACAGCTGTGCAGACTGGCATGCACTGTCCCTACTCAAGCTGGATGACACCATTTTGCTGTATAAACATTTTTAAAATATAAATAATGTTCCTGCCTCATAATCCTGAGGATGTTGATGAGGAAGTTTGGGAATGTCTGTCTTCTTGTTTGCATCCAGTGGTGAAACTCCTGAAATGTCATTCCAGCCATTTGGTTCTTGAATGATATTTAAAATGCCCTGAAAAAACCAAACTGTAAGAAGTACTGCAGAATACAAATTAAGAATGGAATTAATATTTGTTTTTCCAGTCCTTTGCCCCACCAGTGTTACCTCCTTGATAAGTTTTATTGCTGATATTTGAAAAAAAATAGGAATATCTGGACAACAGCCAGATTCTGGATTTTTCATATGGTCTCATCTGAATTTATCTCTCTCTCCTACCCCCATTAATTAAAAAGACAAAAAGGAAGAAACCAAACCACTAAGAGCTTAGAAATTTTGTTCTCGGATGCTTGCAGAGGAATGGGTTTACTTCCTTATTCCCTTATATCCAGTGGGATCATGGGCAAGAGCAGTACTGGGCAGGCGGACACGGGAGGAGCCTGGCGGGGTGCCATGGGAGTGCATGGGAAGCTGACACGGGTGGGGGAAAGGAATGGAGGGAGGGCTTGGCAGGCACTCAAGGACAGTCATTTAGCACAGATAGTGGTAGTAGTACATGATTGCATTTCTTTCTTAACAAATTAAATGTTGGTAAGCATATAGAATTAAATTTAAAAATAGTATCTTAGTTAACTGGAATATAATGTAGTTGTCTAGAGGAAAAGCTGCCTTGGTTGTTTTCCTGTTCATACATTTGCTTTTTTTTTTTTCTTATAGGGGATTGAATGGACTCATATTGACTATTTCAACAATGCTATAATTTGTGACCTAATAGAAAATGTAAGTTATATTCAGGAATCTCCCTGAATAATTTTTCAGTGCATAGATTGAATTTAGCTGTAAAATCTGTATGCATCTTCGCATACTTTGATTTTGTAAGCCAAGCCACTGATTGTATTAGTCATCGTATTTTGTATGGTAAAAGTTTATTTTACCAATTTTTTTTTTACAAGGCCATATGTTACTTTGTTAGAAATGTTCAGCAGCACCTACACAAAAAAAGAAACCAAACACAAACAATTCTTAAATGTTTACATTTAGTTCTGTTTTCAATAGCAGATATCACATGCTGCATTATAAATAACATTTCTTTTTATATGGAAACTAGAAAACTCAATGACTTGTTACTGAGTTCTTCAGGTACAGAAAGTACTTGTATCTAATAAGAGGACTTCTTAAGGCCTTAGCGAAGCAAGAAAGATAAAATTCCTTGACAATTGGAAAAGAACAGGTTTTTAACCATTAACATGAAATGTAGGATGGTTTTACCCATAAACAGGCTACTTCCAGTTAAATTGGAGTCTGAGTAAGTTATGCAAAATTCCAAGATGAAGTTCAAGACTGCTTCTGATCTCAGAAAGCAGACTTTCAAAACTTCAGATACTAAAACCTGGGGATGAGGAAAAGAGGCAAACTTTGAGATGGCTTAAAGAACATTTTACTGGGTAGCAGAAGTCAAGCAGAAGAGAGTTATATCCTTTTTATGTGTTGGTGGAAACAAACACTAAAGCTCTTGTCTTGAAACTTCAGAACCAAACTGGAATCCTGGCCATGCTAGATGAAGAATGCCTGAGACCAGGAACTGTTACCGATGACACCTTCTTAGAAAAGCTGAACCAAGTCTGTGCCACTCACCAGCATTTTGAGAGCAGGATGAGCAAGTGCTCCCGGTTCCTCAATGACACTTCCTTGCCTCACAGCTGCTTCAGGATCCAACATTACGCTGGAAAGGTACCTGATGAAGCAGGGAGTACGTGGTGTGTGAAGGGTGCTGCACACCTGGCTTTGGTAGAATGGGGAGGATTTCTCCATTAAATGATGCTACAGTAATGGAGAAGAACTGCTTGAGTCAAATAGTTGATAAAAAATCTAGATCTGCCTTAATCTTTTCTGTCTTAAGCCTAAATTTCGTGATTTGGGCTGGAAGGTTTTCAGAGATCATAGAGTCATAGAATGGTTTGGGTTGGAATGGGCCTTAAAGCTCACCCAGTTCCAACCCCCTGCCATGGGCAGGGACACCTTCCACTAGACCAGGTTGCTCCAAGCCCCATTCAACCTGGCCTTGAGCACTGCCAGGGATGGGGCAGCCACAGCTTCTCTGGGCACCCTGTGCCAGCACCTCAGCACCCTCAGAGGGAAGAACTTCTTTCTTCTTAATGTCTTGATCTCAATTCTCTGTCAGTTTTAAAGCCATTGTCCTGTTACTGCATGCCCTTGTAGAAAGTCTTGCTGCTCTAGCTGAAATCAATGGCCGTTCTCCATCAAAGGAGAAAGATGTCCCACATATTTGATGGTGAACTGCTTGTGCTGCTAAGTTTCTGGAAATAAAACGTTTAGAATGACAAAAATTCACACATTTGAAGGCAAGATACTTTGGAAAACATGGCCTTTGTTGCTGAACTAGCTGAAGTCCTTAGTCATGTTGATGAGAAAGTGGAGGGTTTGTACATTTGAAGAAACCGAGTTTATTTGGACAGTCTGCATGTTTAAACAGATGGAAGAGAAAGCTATATAGAGGGCTTGCAAACATATTTGCTTTTTGCAACATAAGCGGCATGAATAAATACAAGTCTGACAGTTTTTGCTGTGTAATTCAGTATGACTTTTTATTAGTTAAAATAATTTGTGAAAAGATATTTTATTAAAACAAAGTGAAGCATAGGGGTTGAAACTACACTTCTTGTTTGAATCTCCTGAACTGTTAATTTCACACAGTGAAGAACATTTGGAAAGTGTTTTATTTTTTCCAGCACTATTAAATACTTCCCTAATTTTTAATGATTTCTCAGTCTTACCATTTTGAATAGCTCAATAATTTTCTCATTCAGAATAGTCTTGGAAATACCATCTTTTCAGCCTTTGAAGTGGCCATTTGTTAACTTTACATTATATATTTACCAAGAAGATTTTATAATTGCATATAGCTTATCAGGGATTAATACTTAGATATTTCTTTGGTTGTCAAAGTTAGAAGCAAATTGAAAATGCCCCAGTACTTTGGGAAGGACTTCAAACAGATTGTGTCTGAGCAGGCACTGGGGGTCTTCAATTGTTAGTGGCATTTACTCACTTACCCAGCAGAGCAGTCAGTGGACTCCTCCTATTTTGGGAGGAATGTTGGTTTTCCATCCTCAGCTGAGAACGTTTTGATCTAGTCACTGGACAACAACTCTGCTTTTATGAAATACAAGCAAGTTCATATGAGCAGTTCTTGCAGCAGTGGTATTTACCACACCTGTCAGAAACAGAAACGTGTACTCAAAAATGCTGCCTGAGTTCCCAGTCACTTGCTGTTGTGTAAAATATGGCTATGTCTGTACCAGTTTTATTCAGTATTCTGTGTACATAGTTTGTATCTACACAGAACTGAGAAATCATGAAGCTGAAGAATCTGCATTATTAATTGTCACAATTAATCAAACTAAATTCCCTACCCTCAAAAATTAAAAAGAACAGTAGCAATGTGGGATCTACATGAAGTTCCCCTAGATGCCTCCTGGGTCTCCAGCTGCAGGTCAGAGCTTTGCATTTATGCTTGTTGTTGTTGGACTCTTCTCCTGGTAAAAGTCCTTTAAAAGAACAGTCCCCTGAGGAGTGAAGATAGCTGCTTGCTGCTGTGATATCAAGAGGTGATATTTCATATTTTAGTTAGGCAAATAATGTAAGCATTAATACTTTGAAGGGAAAGGGTATTTTTGCTGCTGTGATTCAAAAGAAAGAAAGAAAAATCTTTTTTTTTTTTCAGCCAGAAAAAGATTGTTTTGGACTACTGGCAAGTGGTGGTGTATCACAGTTGTCATGGGAGGTTTTTCCCATTTCAGAAACCAGAGTTGATTAGCACAAGGACCTGTTAGCAGTGTGAGAAAATGCATCTTTCTCAGATAGCATGTTCACAGTAATTTTATCCAACTAAAAATCTTCCAAATGTCAAATCTAAAATGAAAGCTGAAATGTCTTTTGTGTTGGATAGTGAGAAAGATGAAGAAATCGATTTCTTGGGTCAGTTTTGAAGTGGCCTATGTGATAGTACAGAGCATGCTCTGATGAGATTCTTCTCTATTGTTCAGGTTATGTACCAGGTGGAAGGATTTGTTGACAAAAATAATGATCTCCTGTACCGTGACCTCTCCCAGGCCATGTGGAAGGCCAGTCACTCTCTTATCAAAGCGTTGTTCCCAGAAGGGAACCCTGCTAAGATCAATCTAAAGAGACCACCGACAGCAGGTTCACAGTTCAAGGCTTCAGTGGCTACCCTGATGAAGAACCTTCAGACAAAAAATCCGAACTACATCAGGTAAATTACCCTGTGGCGAAGCTCTGGTAAACTTATGTTAGGCAAAGTTAACAAATAATATCTTGATATCCAAGGATAAACTGTTGAAATACATGGTTTAAACTTGTATAATAGTTGTTGACACGCACAGTGCTACAAACAATTGTTTGCTTCCCTTTCCAGATGCATCAAACCCAATGACAAAAAGGCTGCACACATCTTCAATGATGCTCTGGTGTGCCACCAGATCCGCTACCTTGGTCTTCTGGAGAATGTCCGGGTCAGAAGGGCAGGTTATGCATTCAGGCAGGCGTATGAGCCTTGCCTGGAGAGGTACAAAATGCTGTGTAAGCAGACGTGGCCCCACTGGAGAGGGCCAGCCAGGTAGGAAAACATCAGTATTCTTGCCTGTCCACTTCCAGTGACTGGAATTACCACCTTCCATGTGTTCTGATTTTTTTTTTTCTTTGTAATTTAATGAGCTTTCAAGTACTTTTAAAGTAAATTAAAAAGTAGGCCAATGTGGCTCAGGTGTTTTACTTGTATGTTGTTCTTTAGCATCTTGCTCCAGATTTTGGGTAAGTTCAGTCACTGGGAACTTCCATTAACTTTTCATTAGGCTAAAAATTAACAGTTCTTTGGCAAAGGTGATGATTTTAGTGATGAACTGATCTACTAATGGAAAGGGGTTTACAAATGAACAAGGAGATCATGTTGGCTTTAGAATATATTTCAGCCTTTACTCATTTGGGCCTGAAAGAAAGTAGGGGGCTAGGGAGGAAAGGGAGAAGAGAGTCTGGGGTGGAATAAAAATTACTAGAAGGTGTGGAATGATCAGAAGGACACTTTAATAACCAAAGTGTAGGAATACCCATTTCTTTGAAGGCAGGCACTCAATCTTCCTCTGTCCTTTCAAGAATGATATTACATAATGATTGGTGAACAACTATGAGATAATACCTTTTCCAAATAAATTGTATTAAATCTATAATTTGAAGCTGCATGATATTCACATATGTTTTTCAGATAATGTCCTATTTAGGCAAATGGGCTTCTCAATTCTTTTTACACTTGGCCACCATTAGCATAATTTAAATTTCTTTCATAATGGTTTCATAACTTTAGCTACAGTTTAAATCTTTAAGTTATCAAGATAATGGTGGAGGTGCAGTATTGATAACAATGGCATTGTTAATCATCACTAAGATCAGTGCAATTCATAGAATCATGGAATGGTTTGAGTTGGAAAGGACCTTAAAGCTCATCCAGTTCTAACCCCCTGCCATGGGCAGGGACACCTTCCAATAGAGCAGGTTGCTCCAAGCCCCATCCAACTTGGCCTTGAACACTGCCAGGGATGGGGCAGCCACAGCTTCTCTGGGCACCCTGTTCTGTTTTCTATTTTTGTTGACACTTAGAAAATGCAGTTGGTAGAGTGTGGAACATGAGCATTTGTCAAATCTGTCAGTCTTTATTTCACATTTTGATGTTAATGTGAGATCCCTCCCTTTTTTTTTTTTTTTTAAATAAAATTATTACAGATACAAGAGGAAAAAATAGGCCATTGCTGATGCTGTTACAAAATTGCCTTTTTTTCCATCAAATTATTTTGAATCTTTACAGTGATTATCCTTGCCTTTAGCCAAGTAACCAGTGAGTAAGTGAGTTAGGTTTTCAATCTTCTTATGTCAAGCACAATTTGAGAATTTAAAATATGCTTTCATATACTTTCCATAAATTATTCTGTGAATATGTAAACTAAGAAGTTTTAGAGCTGGAGGTCATGTTTGTTAAGCTCATTTGCTTCTTATTAGGGCTGGAGTAGAAGTCCTGTTTAATGAATTGGAAATCCCTGAAGAAGAATTTTCCTTTGGTAGATCAAAGATATTCATCCGCAACCCAAGAACAGTAAGTGAAAAATGTCTTCTGCAAAGTCAAGCCATCTTTCATAAGAGTAGCCTGTTACAAACGGCATAATTCACTAGTTGGCTACTACAGATTTTTCTAGACACAGCACTTTGATACATTGCTGTGAAATTTATCACTAAAAAAAGGCACTTTTTAATGTTAGACCCATTAAAATTGAAGTGAATCAAGACTCTACAATAGTTGTCAGCCGAAATTTAATGTTACTTTTGTGGGCCAACTTGTGGCAGTGTATCTGATGCAAACTTTGTTGGCGTATCTGCCTATAGGTCTGGAGGTGAATAAACCAAAAGACGTCTGAAGGGGAACGTGAATAAAGGAGAGATTTCTCTTGCAATAATTGCACTTACTTTTTTTTTTTTTTTTTTGGTTTCTTCTCCCCTGATGTTTTTCTTCTAATGTCAACCAAAACCCTAAAAAAACCACCCAAACTCAGCTCTTCAAGCTAGAAGATCTGAGAAAGCAGCGGTTGGAGGATTTGGCTACTCTAATTGAGAAGATTTATAGAGGTTGGAAGTGCCGTACACGCTTCTTGTTAATGAAGAAAAGCCAGATTGTGATTGCTTCCTGGTACAGGAGATATGCAGTAAGATACAATCCTTACTAAATGGGGGGGTTCTTTTCATTGTTTAATACATCTTTTCATATAATCTTGATAGTATGCTTCATATGATGAAGCATTCACAACCTCCTTGGGCAACCTATTCCAGTGCCTCACCACCCTAACAGGAAAGAATTTCCTCCTTATATCCAATCTAAACTTCCCCTGTTTAAGTTTTAACCCATTACCCCTTGTCTTACCACTACAGTCCCTAATGAAGAGCCCACCCCCAGCATCCCTATATGCCCCCTTCAGATACTGGAAGGCTGCTATGAGGTCTCCACACAGCCTTCTCGTCTCCAGGCTGAACAGCCCCAACTTCCAAGGCCAGGTTGGACGAGGCCTTGGGTAATATGGTTTAGGGCGAGGTGTCCCTGCCCATGGCAGGGGGGTTGGAACTGGATGATCTTAAGGTCCTTTCCAACCCTAACTATTCTATGATTCTATAATTCTATGATATGTATGGGGAAGTGTTGGAAGAATTCAATTTTATGCTAATATTTAAGTACCAATAATGTGAATAAAGGTGATTTAGTTTCTGTAGGCCACTATTAAATGTTTACATTGTGCTTGTGCTTAAGTAAAAAGCTCACCAGAACTCCTTTAGCTTTGGGAGAGCAGGATTTTGTGGCCCATCTGGGAAGAGCCGTTCTCATTCAGGTAAAATGGTGGCACTTACGGTGCTTTCAGAACGTATGGTTAATAAGTAAAATGTATTCAGTAATATACATCTGCAATTGTGTGGAATTCAGTCATTCCTCAGGCTTTTTGTATTTTTGCCTTATTTGGAACCGTTGCATTTGAGGCTCAAGAATGCTGCTTGGGAGGATCTCAGGGACTTATTTTAATTATAGCTCATAAGCCTCGTAGTTCAGTATTGTTATTGATTCAGTTCTAAACTAGTTTCAGATCTGTTTGCACAGAATCCCTTGTACAGAACACTGGGTATTCTGTGTCATGAAGTGAACAGTATTGTTATGACTCTTTAATGTCTTTGTCAGTAAATAAGATTAATATGATAAAAAAGTTTTATCATTTTTAAGTTTTAAAACAGTTCTTAAAACATGTCAGATGCATTTTGTTACTGTGTGCATATCAGAAAGCTTGTTAAAATATATGATATGGAAAGAAAGCATTTTAAACTGCAAGTTGCAGAATTGACAATCGCTGTTTTTCATTTGGCAAGCACTTCTGTTTGTCACCTTGAAAGCTGTTAGTGTTTGGTTCAGTTATCTCGGATAATCAGAGAGAAGTATAGATCCTTTGGAAAAAGTATGAATAAATGTTGGGGTTTTCTGAACTTCTGTGGCAGAATGCACTATTTCTGCAAACAGCATTATTACAGAATTACATTGTGCCCATATGGCTTCATTATAATCTTATACAATCTTATGAACTAAAAGTGGATTTCCACAGCTAGATTGGTACAAATTTTAATACAAAGAAATGGACAAAGCCCCATGTGACCAAGTTCACATTGCTGTTGGTTTCTTAACTGTAGTCCTTTATTGGTTCATGGGTAGAGCATGGCAGCAGTTGTCTTTGAATACAGGAAGCAGTCATAGTGAGACCCTCAGTTACTTAGAGGTGACAATAGTGATATTTCTTCAGCCTCTTCAGGCAGATGTAGGGCACCATTCTCCTAACCCAACATGATTGCTAGGCACTGTGATTCATAAGGAGTCCCCTGCATGAACAAAGCTTTTTGACAACTCCTTGTGCTGGAGGCTTCTCTAAAGGATCTGCAGACACTTGCCTGTCTGTTGCATTGCAAGGAATGAAATGTCAGTCATGGCATGAATGTGGCCTAGAGGGGATTCTCTCTAGCTTGCTCGAAGGGCTGTTAACTGTAATTGAGTGAGCTGAGTGTCACACTAAAAGCCTTGTTGCAAAGTCTGTCAATTATTGTTCACTTAGTGTTATACTAACCGCTGGACTACTAGAAAACTGAGCTTTTTAGAAGGAAAATGTTCAGTTGTCCAGGAAATTTACTGTTCAAACTGGCATACTGGGATAATGTTCCATCATGTCATTCAGGAATCCATGGGTTTTCTTTTTTCTGGTTCCTAAGTCATCATCAGCATTTGGTATTATAAACAGATTGTGGGTGATAGGAACAGCACAGGTCTATGAAAAGATGGTAAAAGCTTAGCCAACAAACCAGAGCATTTATTTGTATGCAACTCTGTTGGTGAGAAAGGCAAATAAAGCTGTTACTGTTAGTATTTAATCCATGTCACTTTTGTGCTGCTGACCACGAATTTAGTGTTTCTGTAAATAGAGAGTGGCATTGTCCATGCAGCATTGTTGATGTGCTTTGTTTCCCCTCGAGTTGAACACAGAGTCTACGCTCTGATCTGCCTGGTCAAAAACTGTTGACTTTTTACATGTAGTGCTTGTGTCTTTAATTGTACTAGCAAGTGTTAGTAACGGAAGTCTTATTATGCAGTATTTTAAAATTGCAATATTCTGTTCTAAGCATCACGTATTTATTTCCAATACAGCAACAAAATAAGTATCAGAAGATAAAGAGTTCGGCTATTATAGTACAGTCCTACATCAGAGGATGGAAGGTGAGTTCCCTGTTACTGTGGCAAAGTCTGCATAGTGAGTAAGTAGCAGGTCAGAAAACCCATTCCAAATGCACTGAGCTTTCTGACTTCAATGCCTTTTGGCTGTTGAGCTGTGGCTGTGCCATAGCCATTGTTAAATACTTGTGTTTGCCACAGAAGTGGTGAATTTGGGACATCTGCATGCAGCCTGGGCTGTAAATCCCTGCAAACAGTGCAAGGGGAAGGCTGGGACTGCACTGAACTACTGTTGTTATCCTTGGAGCATCCTCTGAGAGGTGATTTGGAGAGAGATACACTCTTTACATGGGCTGGAGTGTGAATGGGTGCATCTGGTGTTCAGACCTAGGTACATGCTAACCAGGCACTGCGGCAGCTCCAGAGTGGAATGCTCAAGGACTCTGTCACTGGGCTTACAAAAACTGTAACATTGGACTGATTTGGTAGAAATAAGTTGTGGTTGGAGTTTATTTTACGGTTAACAGGCTTCTCAGAGAATGAACAAAATGAAAGCAGGCTTAAAATAAAGAGCTTGGGTCACCTGTGCAGTGTGTTAACTTGGCTTAAGTCTTCGATTCTCTGTGTGCTACATGGAGGGGTGAAAGTACTGTACTCAACTTGTGTTGAGCAAATACTTTATTGCTGTTTTCTTGTCCTCTGCCTCAATTTGCTACAACTTTGCTTCTTTGAGAGGTTTGTATTTCGTGAAGGTATAATCGCTCAGCTGTAGTAGGGACTTAAGGAGTGATGCTGTAATAAGAAGTAAAAACGAGGTTAACAGCTCACATGAAAGCAGCCGCAATGCTTAAAGCAACTACTGCTGTCCAGCTTCAGAAAAAAATGTCCCTGGGCTCCTCTGTTTCCTTATTAACCTTTCCCCACCCCACTAAATCTGGCTTTCTCCCCTAGGGAAGAAAAAACTGCCTTTAATTCTGGAGTCACTTCCCTTCCTGTCAGACAGGGAAGGAAGGGGCTGCAGTTACTAGCTATAGGTGTAAACAACCCTTTCCTGCCCAGAAGGTTTTAAAGTTGGCCAGCAATAAGCTAGTGTAATTTGATTTTACTGTTTTCTTGATTTTTACTTTATTATTTTGTTTAAATGAGTTAAAAATACCCTTTCAGTCCAACTATTGACCTACTGTCTTTTCCCATGAGTGTTACTTGAAGAAAACCGGGTAAAAGCATCATCTCATCTAGAGTTATGGTTTTCTGTTTGCTATTGGAGAACATGGAGAACATGCGGTAGCACTGCCATGGATAAAAGCCTGGTATGGCAGCAGCCTTTAGTGTGACCTAAAGCTAGGCAATTTACTTGTGATTTATTCTTACTGCAGTCTAAATGGATAAGACATCTACTGTGTGGAAGAAAAGCATTGTTGCTGTTGTAGAGACAGGCATACAGATATCTCAGATGATGCAGCAAATCTGGGAGAAATCTAAACATTGAGCTAAGGTCCCTTGAACTGCCACTCCCAAACTCTCCCTTGTGAACAGAATCCTCTCTGGAACAGTGAATGTTAGGCTGCGTAGCATTTATGAATCTATTTGCTTGGGGATTTGGAGGTGGTGTTTTTTGTCTTTGCCTAAATTTCCAGGTTGTAGTGCCTTAGTTTAAAATCATTATTTTTTTTTAATAAAATAACATTTTCAATTGCTTACAGGCTCGGAAACTTCTCCGGGAACTTAAGCATCGGAAGCGTTGTAATGAGGCTGCCACAATAATTGCTGCTTATTGGCATGGTACCCAGGTAAGAAAATGGCAACAAATGGTGCATTTAATTGTCTCTAGGTAGATAGAATGAAGAAGGCTCTTCAGGATAAAGTTATCTGGGAGTATTTTCAGTGGCTTAAACTGCTGATTTTTTACTTCTGCTTCTCTTTGTGCTCCTAACATGTTCTAGCTGGTGCAGTCTGGGAAGCTGGGACATGCTTTAATATTTGCTGGTTTTAATGACTGGTTTCTTTCTCTCTTTCTTGCACCATTGGGAACTTGCAGTAACCTTTTCTTTCCTAAGCTTTTCTATATCCCATTTTCAAATGCATCACAGGCGCGAAGGGAACTGAGACGACTGAAGGAGGAGGCTAGAAATAAACATGCTATTGCTGTTATTTGGGCTTACTGGCTTGGATATAAGGTATTTCATGCACATATCACATGCCCCTCTCCATTACCCAACAATAGAAACATTTAATCAGTAGTAGATGGTGAGAATTAATGACTAATACAGTTGACTTGAATAGAGCATGATCATTGATTCCGCTCATTTCCATCCATGCCACACTTAATAACTCTGACAACATTCTGTATGTCAGTTTTTTGTAGAGTAGGGAATTCTTTGCATGGCAACCAGGTAGTGATTTGCACTAACAAGCCATAAAACTAGATTAAAAATTACTAGATTAAATTATCCTCAAATTAGGAAATGCATTTAACTACATGTAAATATGCAAAGCATGGTTTGGGGGAGGGAGGAGAAGGCTGTGTTTTTTGATGTGTTCCCCCTGCCCTTAACAAGTGCTTTCAGTGACACTGTATTAGTGGTCCAATGGAGATTTTCACCCTGTTGTATATTCTGCGCCCTGGGTGACTTCATTTACAAGTTCAAACCAATACTATTAAGTTCTGCTAAATTTTAGGTCTAATTGGTTTGATTCTCTGGTTGCGATTTGAACCAGTGTGAAAATTTCACTCAGTACAACTGAAGCGCGGTTTTGCGACCTGATCTTTTAGCAGAAAATTATGTTAGTTTGCAATTCTAAACTTACAGTCCTAGAAAAATCCCAGGAATTCCAGCATCAGCTGTTTGTTTTCAGAAGCAAAGTCCCACTGAAAGATTCTTGCTAATCCCCAGCCTGCAGTTGTGGGTTATGTGAACATTTGAAATGCTGTTCACTAGCCATCAAAATTTTAATGGTTTCAATTAATAAATTCATAATTTAGTTGAAAACTATAATCAGGAAACACATGAAGCTTAAATCATTTTCCAGGTATTGTTTAGGTTGGAGGGGAGGTGTGTGCGTGTGGGGGGGTTGTGGTCAGGACACCTTGCCAGTTAGATGGAGAAATGTGCTCAAGTTACATCTGGAGTATAATGCTGAGTTCACCCTTTGTTATTTTGATATAAATCTAATAGATTTCTAATGAAATGGCAGCCCTGGGAATCCAAACAAATGAACAGAATTTCCCTCATACCAGAAAGACTTTGAAACTCTTCAGTTCTAGCTGATGTAATTATGTGCCTACAGACAGGCTGTTTCCACTGTGTTTGTTTAAATGCAGTACACTAATAATTTATGTTACTTTAACCAGAGTTCCTTTCACCAAAAAGCATTTGCTTAGTGCTGCAGAAGTGATACTTACTTTCACAGGTTTAAGGTTTTCTTTAGAATCAAAAAGGGCACATCCAGGAAGTGGATGAAATAGTGTTAACTGTGTTAAAGCTTCTCATTTAAATATTTAGTAGATCTGGATAATTTTAAACATGCTTTAGTAGCTATTTTTATCAACTGGCTCACATTAAATATTGCTTCCTTATCCCTTAAATATTCCTTAAATAATTACATTGAATTAAGATTAGAAAAATAATTACTGTGCCTGATAAGAGATAAAACTTCCTCTTGGTGTGATGTTTTCTCTTTTCCCAGAGGAATATTTAAAACAACCATTTCTAAAAGTTTTCATCAGCGATTGCTTGATTTACTGAAAAATGAATAAATAAACAAACAAATACAACCAACCAAACAAGCAAAAAAGCTGTGAACCTCAAGTCCTCAGTTTCCTTCCTTTTCACAGACAGGCAAACACTTAGCTTGGCAGAGTCCTTGTTTTTACAGTACTGTATAGCAGGAGCTTTTGTTCCAAGCAGATGAGTGAAAATATGTTCTTTGATATGATATTCTTTGGCCTACACCTAATGCCAATTAACCTTCCTAGCTACATCAGAGAAAGGTAACTGGCACAGGCTGGAACTGCTGTTGCACAAGTCTGTCTGACAACACAGAACTTGACAAGTGCAAATACGTGGCTAGAGCTGCTCTGACTGATCCTCTAATACTGGAACTCTTTGGTTTAATTGACTTTTATGATCAGATAACTGAATAACAAATATACTGGTGTCTCCTAAAATGTGAGATTCTGTTAAGTTGTCCACACATGCCTTTGTGTTTAGAATACTTTGCAAACTGGTTTCCTAAAATGGGAATGATTAATAAAATGTAGGTAGGTGCCTATCTCTTTGTACATGCAGAAGGCACTAGGTTCGGGGAAGTTTACCCTTTCATTCCATAAAGACAGACATAATTTACCAGGCTGGAGACACTTTTTTTTTAACCATAAAAATCAAAATAAAAAGTAGCCTCCAGAATAAAAACCTTCAATAGAGCACTGGTAATTCATCATTACATACATAGTTTCAGAGTTGATTCTTTTCTGCCCAGGCACTTGCCAATGGAAGTTACCAGATAGGAAGATTTTAGTAAGCACTGATTCTTGTACACATCATTTTGATCATGCAACTGCAGGCAAAGGTCTCCATTAGAATCAAGTTATAGCTACTTGCCACTGATTGCGAGGTGTGCATGGAAGAGAAGATGGAAACACTGATAGCAAATAATGGGGCTGACAAAGTTCTTATCTATACATGCCACTTGAGCAGTAATGGAGGCTTTGACCTCCAGTGTGGCTTCACACCAATTCACACTGACACATTGGGTTTTAAAGGTTAAACGCTGTTCTTCCATCTTTCCATATCTTGATTGTAAGTTGGCTGTTCTATTTGGGAGAAGCCTTTTCCTGGTGGTTGTGCTGTCTGCATCGGGCTGTCTCTTTTGTTCACTATCTAAACCTTTTAGGCTCGAAGGGAATTGAAACGCTTGAAGGAGGAGGCTAGGCGTAAGCATGCTGTTGCAGTCATTTGGGCTTACTGGCTTGGACTGAAGGTACTTTCTCAAACACTCCCATCTGTCAACTTGAACTCAATAAGCGTGGCACCTTACTAACACTTAATAAACAAGCAGTTATGTGGGCTCACTTGTAGAGGTGGTTTTTACACAGAATGGCATTGTTTAATTTTGTCATGGACTGTTCCAAAAATACATAAGCTGAAAATGCCTCATTTACAGCAGTATGTGGGCATCTGATTTTTAGAATCAGGAATTTAATTTAGAATCAGGAATTTCAGCTTTCAAGTGAAAGACAAATGGCATTAAAGGGACTCTGTCATGGTTGTTGACTTATAAACCTGACCTACGTTGGCAAAGATCCTATGAGGAAAGATTACAAGGATGTATTTTCTTATTGTGACCTCTGCTTGTTTGAATGGGAAGTAAGGTGGAGCTGTGACTCTCACTGCTGCTCATGTTAGACCCCTGACCCCAGTGTCGAGGGCATGGTGTAAAGCAATTGATAATGTCCTGTTGCTTTCATCACTGTTTTTAGGGCATGGCATTGCATGCAGTTACCTATGGCTTGTGGCAGCCATGAATTCCCAGAAAAACTGAGATGTACAAGAGTCTTTTGGTTTTTATCCCTTGCTTTCAAGGGCTGGTTGGCAAAAGAAAACACGTTTGTAATCTGGAAAAGTGTAGTTCTGGTCTGTAAATAGACTATGAAAATGGCATCTTGAGATGTTTCAGGTCTGCGCCCAGATGATTTACATCATACAGTTTTCAAACATAGTTTGACAGATGTAGTCTTGAAAAACTGTGGAAATCTAAATCAGTCTTGCTTGGATGGGTGTCACTTTTGCTAATTAGGGATATTGTAGACTTCAGGAATATAAAAGGGAATAATTAATTTGATAATGCAAAGTCCAGCTCTTATATTCTCATACTTACTCTAACGATGCTGGAGTGGGGAAAATAATTACAAAACAATTCTGTATATGTATGTAATATATATAAAAAACATCCATTACAATACATACATGGAAGCCAGAGCTGGAAATACAAAGGAACCATTTTAAGAAGTCATTCTGCAGATCAGAATCGCACTGTGGGTACTTCTGCCAAAGTGGGTCTGGTTTTATGACTCTAAAACAAGAGTATGTCCCTGCTGAGAACTCAGAGGCTGTTTCATATCAAACAGCAGCATGTAAATGAAAACCGATGAATCCAAAACCTTTAACGCACATTACAGCAGAAATATGTTTTTGCCTGTCTGTGGTGTGGTTTTTCAATGTATTTTTTAATAGTGTAAGCAGCATTACCATCTCACCTAAAATACACAGATTTTTCTGAATGAGAACATAGTCTGTAATTACAATATATCACTGTTGCCAGAGGCATTTCTTATTTGATGGCAAAGTATTTTCAACCATAACATATGGAACCAAAGATTTGAAGTTGATTCAAGTGATCAGGATTAAACTGTTAATTCTTGAGGGTTGGGGTTTTTTTTATGGTATGATAAGTTTATTTTAATAGCACTTGTGGTACTTTCCAGATTTAGGCTTTTCTGGAACGGCTTGCATTTTTCAGTGCTTGCTTTGCAGCTTCCCTGCAGCGCCAATAGGACATGTGGGTATAGGTTAGTCCCTTTGTTCCAAACTAATTTGCACACGTTGCAGCTCATGGGGAATAATATAAAGTAACATCATTAAAGAGAGTCTATGAGAACACGGTGAGATTTGGGATGATTGTGGTTGGAGTGGCTTTAAGTGTGTTAATTTCCATCCCTGAATAAGTAGTAAAGGATGTACACTACTTATAGAGCACTAAACCTTACACAAAATCAGTGAATAAGAACTCTAATAATTTTTTCTCACAGAGTGAGGAGGAAAAAATTATGTGCTGTATTTGCATAGAATGATGACAGCTGAATGCTGCCAGTCGTGTTGGTGCATTTTAATGTGTAATTTTTTTTTAATGTGTAATGTGTAACTATTTATCGGGGGGGGGGGGGGGTGTTAAACCCAGAACGGTGACAGATTCTTGCTTCCAAAATGCTGGCTTATCTTAAAATGCATGACACTCAGTATGGGGCAGAAGGTGTGCCAGGGTAAGCCAAGCAAATTTTTTCTTACAGGTTGATGTGGGTTTTTCTTCTATGGGTTTTCCTTAATTTTCTGGTTGCAGTGAACTCGGCAGCACACAGCGAATAGCTAAAACCACTGAATTTGCTATGGGGCAAATGAAGTAAAACTACGATGTTTTCCCTGGTTTTTCTCTAAACCTGTAACAGGTGTGTTGCTGCTGTGCCAAAGTTTGGGGAAAGCTGGGGGATGTTTCAGCTAACTTTATGTGAGCTTGGGCTCCACATAAAACTGCTCAGATTGCACTTTCTGCAGGGAGGAATATAGGTACTCTGCTAAATAGCATTCTTAGGAATATGAAGGGCAAAACAAGTGTTCTGAAACTTGGATTTACCAGCATGTATTAAAAATGGGTGTCACCCTCAAAATGGTTCTCAGCGATTCCTTGTTCTAAGTAAATTTCAGTAGTAAATATCAAGCTTGCTGATATCAAGCAACATTTGTGTTGATTCTTTGCTCTTACCTGGCACCAAAATCTTATTTTCCTTTTGAAACAAAGACTGCTTGTGTGAAAAGAGATTTTTCATGCATAAGTCTGCTCTGGAAAAAAAGAACAAACCCCACCCTTTTCTATTATAGGAACTCTCTATTAAGAATCTCAAAGGAGAAAAATCAGAAATATTTAACCAATTATGCAATTAACATCACCTCAGTGTCACTTTAGACACAATAAAATATCTAGCACTGATGATATCTCACTTTATCCAATCCAACTTTATGCAAAAGCCTATGAAAATAATTCATGCTGTGAATTCAAGAATATTTTAATAGGTTACCTTTTCAGAGGAAAGCATTCCACATTGTCTGTTGAATTTGCAAATGACTGTGCTCAGCCGAGGTGACTTTCTGACCACTCAGTCCATGGTCTGGTTCATATATTTTATGTGTACCCAGTTACTGTTCCTATTTCAGGGAACACTTTGCATGTTCATGTGCCTTTTTAGTATTTTCTGCGATAGAACTTTATAGTACAGTGCCTGTACAAACAAATTCATGTGTTATATTCACTTTAAGGGTTTAATTTTTTAGGTCCGTAGAGAGTACAGGAAATTCTTCAGAGCCAATGCTGGAAGAAAAATCTATGAATTTACCCTTCAGAGACTTGTATGTATATATCCCCATGAAGCACATTGCATTTTCTGTGTTTTGAAGTTTTTGTTTGCTAGCAAAAGTAACAGCTGTGTTATGGCCTTAATAGTCTTTGTAAGGAAATGCCTAAGCTAAGCATATGGAAAATTGACAAATAGCTGTTGTAAGGAAAGGATAGTGGTAGTGTTTTGAAGGTACGGGAATGGTACTAACTAAGCATTTGCCACACTTCGATACCTAAATCTGCAGTTCTCAATATACCTGACATCTTAGATCTATATCCAGGTTTATGAAAGCTGAGAGTTGCAGTTTGGTGGCTGTGCTTTTAATCACAGAGCATCTGCTTTTCCTTGCTTATATCAGTAACTCTGGTATTTGAATATTATTAAAACATCTTGCTTTAATTTTGTCACAGATGCAAAAATACTTCCTGGAAATGAAGAATAAGATGCCTTCTTTATCACCGATAGATAGGAACTGGCCAGCAAGACCTTACCTTTTCTTGGATTCAACTCACAAGGAGCTAAAGAGGATTTTCCATTTGTGGAGGGTAGGATACATCCTGATCCAGTCTATGCAGAACTTCATCATGATTTTCAATAGTTTTGTTCATGAAGGGCCTATTTTTAGGATGTATTTCTTCCCGTTCCAGCCAGGATGATTTTATTTCTTTGGAAGATGTATGGATTTTGATCATTATCTTTGGCCTGCAAGGGCTATAACTATCCTGCTTACTGCTTTCTGGGGCTGAGGAGGGAGGGTTGCTTCCTGCCATCAGCTTTTAATATAAAACAGTATGCCCATTGCCTGTTAATTGGTAGCTTATAATGCTTGTGTCCATGGGCAGGACTGGGACTAGCTCTTAGACCAGCACTTGAAGTACTGGGTGGAATTTTTTTACTGAAGAACTGTTGTTAGCTGAGGTTTGATTTGGATCTTTAGATAGAGAGAACAGTGAGAATCTGTGGAAGTGCCGATGATTCGTTTTACTGGTCTTGTGGGCTGTGTTTTCTGTGAATTGTCAAAGAACAGCTTTTCTTCCTGAGCCTGCAAAATTCATTCTCTCAGCTGTGTTTTGTTCTTTCTTACATAAACTTCCACAATGGTGGAACTATATATATATATATGTTTCTGAGAACCTTTTTAGCACAGTCTTCGAGTGACTGGTATCTGATATATTAAGCTTGTGTTCAAACTCAACATGCTTAAATTGAGATGGTTTAGACACTGGTTTTGGTGTAACTATCTAGAATGGGTGAGGAGAAAACTACCTCTGTTGCCTCTTACTGTGCTACAGTGGCATGCAGGATGGAGCTGAGTCACTTCAGAACTATACAAGGAATGTGCATCTTGAGCAATAAGCAAACATGAGTCTGTGGTGCTGCTGCTTCAGATCAGATTGGGAAAGATAATTTTGGGGTTTGTTTAATATATTGTGTTTTGTAGTGTAAAAAGTACAGAGACCAATTCACAGATCAGCAGAAGCTTATATATGAAGAAAAACTGGAAGCAAGTGAACTTTTCAAGGACAAGAAGGCTTTATATCCAGCCAGGTAATGACTTATTCTGCTGCTTCTAGTGTGCAATAAAGTCAATATCCATACATAGATTTAGGAAACCAAGCAAGATTTTGCTTTTTATCTTAAGCAGGAAAGTGCATTTTCCTTGTTTGATGATGTCCCTCCATCATTTCACTTTACAATCCTGCAAATTGGCCTCAGTTTGCTTCTAACACAGATGTTGTTGCAGCCCACTAATCCTGTGATACTGAGCACTTCTGTCCAGAAGCCATGATGTTCTGTTGTTCTAACCCTCCGTGACCTCTTCACATTGTAAAAGCTTGGAGAACTTACAGAAGGGAATAACTCTCACCCTTTCCCCTAGTTTCCATCATGCTGGTTCCTGCAACCAATAAATGCAGAGTGAATTGGAAGGCTGTAAGTGACCATGTCACTCCCAGATGAGGTGTGCCAGGGATTCTCTTAGTTCAGACTCAGTACATTCACCATAATGCTCTAATGTGAAGACTAGGTAATTTAAGAGTTAGATCATCGGTATGTATCTATTTAAAAGGATAATTAAAAATAGATATTTAAAGTGCTTAAAAATTTAAAGGGGGCTTTTTAAAAATGTGCAATCTTTGCAAATAAGTTTTTTGGTTTCTCTGGTTACTGAGTTCTTAAAAACTGATAAATTCTTGTCATTGCAGTCTGCAGAGCTAGCATTACTCAAAGAGCAATAATATCTGATGTTGCATAAGGAATGTACCTCTTTTGCATCAATAAAACTGACAAATATAGGAACACAGGAACTGTGTTTTTCTTAAACAAAGGTCTTGTCCATCTCAGGAGAATTTTGTTTCAGAAGCCATAGTTTGAGCTGAGCAGGAACAAGGCATTGTAAAGTGAGACACAAGGTTCAGTAGAGGGAGGATCAGGAATCTGCATGCATTGATGAGAGCAGTTCCATGCATGGACAAGCTCTGCTTAGTTGTGTGTCTGTAATTTATTGGTTTTGGTTTGTGTAACTGAGACATTTCCTTTTTTTCTCTTATGGGCTCAGTGTATGTTTCCCTTTCTTCCTTTCAGTAGATAACTTATTTAATGGCTGTATATGTTAGCTTGTGGTTTGCTCCTTATTTCCTTTGGGATGTCTTTTTATGCTGCTGAAAAAAAGAGAAAGATGCTGCCTTTGGACTTTTCTAGGAGCAAGGTGGTTTTTTTTGCTTTGGGTCAGTGTAGATCTGATCAACACAGAGCTCCTTGGGAAGGAAGGAATTTTATTTATATAACTGGTTTGGTACCTTTTACACCAAGATCAAACAGTGAAATATTATAAAACAAAACATATATCTGAGATCACTTTATCCAAGACATTCTGAAGTGGTATACATGATAGTAACTGTTGATTCATTTGAGTTTTAGCTTGTGATTCATCACAGTTTGATTAGGGACAAAGTCTACGGGGAATCTACTGGTTTGGTGGCTATGGTTTCATAATGCTAATGAATAAAACCAAAAAGCCCCTAAAGCTCCAGTGTGGTAGAAAGTTAAAATGCTTTCCCCACCCTGCACTAATTTAGAAACATTTCCATCTCTTTTTGCCTTTTATTCAGAGCTGATTAGCTCTTGTTGGAGCTTTTTATCAGCCTAAGGGTAGAGGAAATTAGTATATAAAGTTTCTGAGTAGTTAGTATGATAATGATTCGTTGGATGGGGATAATTTTTGTGTATAATATAATTATTTAAGAACAGAAAGGGACTTTTTATGAGTACTAAAATACCAGTAGCATTCGTTTTCTCTCCCATCTTGCTGCGTACCAGACACGCAATTACAAAGGTAGTGCTATTACACATAATATATTGGTTCCTCTTGGGCTCCGGTTGTGGATTTTTTTGATTAAATTACAGTATGGAGTAATTTTGATTAAATTACAGTCAAAGCACTTTGCATTTAGTCCTTTGATTGTAATTTAATCAAAGTGATTAGTTAAAGTGACTTCCAAACAAAGCAAGCAGCAACTGCAGTCAGCAGGTCTCAAATGATAGCAAAGCTGTTACTGAATAACCCTGAGGTGGATAAAGGTGAGGTGATTTGCAGGTGCAGCAAGTCTTGATGAAGAGCTGATACACATTTAACAAACAGATCTTGAAGGCAAGTTCTTGTCTATCACTCTGAAGTATTGAGAAAGGGCAAAGGTGTCAGTCCTACTATTCCCTGTTTTCACAGAGACAGTTACTGTGCGTTTTTAAAACAAAATGGATTGCATATGCAAGGATGTACTTGTGTCTTACACCTGTAGCAGTCTGGCCCATTTGATTGGAAAATGTTTCCAAAGCAAAGGCAAAAAAGGAAAAAATCCTATTACTGTCTCTGGTGATAAATTTCTCTTTATTCACTATCACTGTGCTGTAAATATATGCAGGATTCTGTGTCCAATACACATACTGTTTCTAGCCCTCCACCTCCTCCTTTCACTTGTCCCCTGGGATAACGTGCTGGGAGATATATCCACACTGCTCGGTAGCAATTCCCAAGTTATTTTCAGCTGATGTAGGATGGCTGAATGGCACAAATTAATGCCAACACCACCTCACTGAGTAAGCAGTGGTACTGAGCTAGAGAGTCTTGGGGCTGAGCAGGGCACTGCAGTTCTCGGCTTCTCAGCAGGATGGAGGACAATTACACTGCAAAAATGAACACCATGTTAAAAGCTCTCTTTGCATTCAGTTATGTATTCTCCTAATTACTCTGTTAGACAGTAGCAAATTATTTTGCACTGCTGTTGTTTAAAACAGGTAGAAATTGTGAGTAAAAGTTTTGGGGCTGTTCACAGTATTCATTTGCTAAAACTGATGCAGCTAATTACTTTCCCTGGCAGAGAGTGTATCACAGCTTAAGTGAGCTTCCAACAGTATAGAGTCATGGAAAATGGTATTTGGTGTATCTCCTGGCTCCATGAAGCCTGAAGCAGAGCATGATGGTTTAATAAGGTTTGCTTCTTCCCTGAGATTCATATTTAACTCATGTTTCCTATGTCTTTTTTTGTTGGGCAGTGTCGGGCAGCCATTCCAAGGAGCTTACTTGGAAATCAGCAAGAACCCCAAGTACAAAAAACTTAAAGATGCTGTGGATGAAAAGATCATCATTGCAGAAGTTGTGAATAAGATCAATAGAGCTAATGGGAAGGTAATAAAATTGAACTGTTTTATGCAGAAGAACAGATCATTTTTGTTATAAATGAACTAAGATGGAGACTTTGTTTCTGTCTTGTAATAGCCTGAGGATTTTTTTTTTAATGCCTTTTTCTAAGGGCAAGAGTGGTAATGTTGGATTTAGGTTTTAAATTTATGTAAATATTACTAAAATCTTGTTTGGGTTTGTAGTTTTCAGTGACTTTTCCAAACAGAAAAGGCATCTCCTCAACTGGAAACAGACTGGACCAATTCACAGACCTAGCTCTTCTATTTACCAATTGAAGAAAATAAATATTTGGAGAATATTGTTCTTGTTCAAGTATTTAGAAAATGTAACTTTTCAAAGTTCACACTGTCATTCAAGCTCCTGATTATCACATTTTGTTAGGTTTCAAACTTGTAAGTGGCATAATCTGCCAGCTTTGCCTGTCTTCTGATTTATAATTTTAGAATGAAGAGGCAAGTTTCTTGTATCATTTGAATAAAGCTGTTAAATATGCTGGGTACTGGTTTATTTTGCCAACAAAGAACTTGTTTTGCATTTAAATTACGCTTATTAAAGCTGGAAGTATTATCCTCCTTGAGTAAATGTAATTGTTTTCCCCATATCTGTCTAAATATTAGAAGTAGTAGATCTCAACTTCTCAGATGTAGATGTCATATGCTTTTGTAGGAGTGAAATTAGGTTGTCTGTTGTTGATTCCAAGTTAATTTTCCGGTTTAGAAGAAACTAATTAAGTGAAGACAGTATCTTTCCTATACTTGCATAGGCTACAGCATTCAAGATTAAAAAATAATAACAGTAGTAATGAGCTATGGTTCTGTGTGTTTAAGACAGCTAATTTTTAGTATAAACAATTAATATTTTATTATTTAAAATTTTATAGGAGAAAAGGCCATGTTCTCTTTTCTCTTTCTTATACTTTCTAAGATAAATTTAAGAACTCACATTCATGCTTTATGAATATTTGCTGTTTGAAAATACGAATGATTATCCTCCTAAAGAATAATTCCAATAGATAAAAGGATGAGAACATAACATTGAAAATACCTACATCATTTGTGTTCTGCAGCAGAATTTTGGTGAATAACAGTAAATAGTGAGGCTTAGTCCTGAATTATCTATCACTGAAAAGGTGCAATTGGTTTCCTGGTGATAGACAGAGCATGAGAAATGAGGTTATCCTTTTTTTTTTTACATATTTACATAGTTTCCAAGTTTCAGTTTCTGAATTCTATAAGTTAGAAATTAAAGGACCTCTTTATAGCTAAGTATAGGTGCCAAAATGAGCTAAGCTTCTCAGTCTATAATTAGACACATAAGTAAATTGGACCCAATTTTAACTGATCTGCAGCTTTTACTGAACATCAGATGTTCATATGTATTAATGGGGTCCAAGCTTATTAACACTGTGAACTGCTTATAGTCTTAGTAGCTGCTCAATAAGGACTCGTTCTCTCTCTGTGTACGTAATGGTTGGCATTTTTGTGTTTTCACAGGCTACATCCAGAATTTTCTTATTAACCAAAAATAATGTTCTTCTTGCGGATCAAAAATCTGGGAATATCAAGTCAGAGGTTCCACTGGGAGATGTTACCAAGGTGTCCATGAGCTCCCAAAATGATGGCTTCTTTGCCGTGCACCTCAAGGAGGTTGGTTACAACTTTATAATACGATCATATGACTGGTTTACATGCAGTGGTGTAAAATATATTTATCAACTGCCTTGTATTGTTAAATTTTGGTGGTCAGCCTGTAGGCTTAGAAATTTATTGAATTTCGGCACATCTGCAAAAGCTTTGATATAAAACTACTGAAGCCAAATGAGAACAGTTACTACATTATGAACGATCATTTACTTGTGAAAATCAGACTTCATATTTCACTGTAGCCTCTTCAGGACTGGAGTTTTCCATTGGTAATACAGGCCTTTAATCTGGCTCAGATTCTTTGTGGCGGTGCTTTCCTTTTTAGCTGCTCATATAATTCTTCCTGACACATTGGCAGAATATCTCTCTTTTCTTTATGGGATGCCAAGAAATCCATGTTATGGCAGAGCTAATTCAGTTACTCAGTTCTAAGGAACTTAGTTCAGTGCTATATTTGCTTCACTGCACTGTCAGCATTGCTGTGCTAAAGTCATTAAGCTGGCATTTGCATTGTAGCTTAAATGGATTTGAAGAATGTACGTATGAATACATATGTAATGTCTTTTCATACTGACTGCCTTCATCCTAATACTGGTATTGGTAATTGCTTTCTGTTCCTTTCTGAAAATACTTTGAGCATGCTGGGGCATAAGCAGAAGAAGGGTACAAGAACACTAAAGTTTTGTAGGACAAATGAAGGCGACCCTTCTTTAGGGTAAGAAGGGGTTTTTAACTTCCTCAACAGGTTAGTGGTTTATTTGAGAGTGACTTACATTTTGATCCTATACACTGCACTGCATCTCTCTTTGATTTACAAGGCAAGAGTCTGTTGCTTCATTGCAGTGTGGAGAGAATAGTCCTTGTAAAACCTCCTGGTTGGATGGCATTTAATGCTTTCCAGGTTCTAGATTTTGGTAGTTCTAACTACTTTCCTTTCTGTTTCAGGGTTCAGAAGCAGCTGGTAAAGGAGATTTCCTGCTAAGCAGTGATCACCTTATTGAAATGGCCACTAAACTTTACCGCACTACTCTCAGCCAAACCAAACAGAAGCTCAACATTGAGATATCTGATGAGTATGTTTCTTGTTTGCTTAAAAATACATTTGCAACATGCTAAAAAGTCAAGTATCTAATGTTAGACAAACAAAACACTGTCATGTAACTTACAGTTCTTTTCTCTTGACAGAATACATGTAAATAAGGATCCAGTTTTCAATGTGTATTCCTTTAAAGTCCTTAGAGAAAATGCGCTTTTAAGGTAGTTTTGAATAGGGCTGTGAAGCAGAGTGGCATTTGAGATAAGTGTTTTGTGTGACTGAAAATTTCTATGAGGTGTTCATTGATTAGAATGGACAATAGGTGCCAAGTTCTAGTGAAAGCAACATAAACAGAATGAAAAGCTCCTCCCCAGACACACAGAACAATGGTGGTAATGTAGGTCTATAAAGGTCTGCCTTATCTTTTGTGAAAGTGAAAATGGTATTCTTAAAATTCCTGCTATTGGTGTTTGAACCACCTATTGTTGTTTTGGGTTTTTGGCTGTTAAAGGCTTTGTTTGATAAAAAAGTTGCATCTCAAATTAGTATTTATTTCTGCTTGGTGCAGTTTCATATTCTGGCCTTAATAAAGATTGTACTTGCAGTGTTTATAGCTATGGAATAAAAATGCTTGTGCATGTGTGAACTCCTAAAGCCTGCTGAGTGGGAGTACCTCACTCAGTCCACAGTTTGTTGTGTGAAGTGCCCCCTGGTTTCAGCAGTGTTGGTCTGGTGGCTCTATTCATTATGAATAAAGAAGAAAATTTGGAACACTTTAACAATAGTGAAATAAAATTTCAGTAGGAAAAAAATTGAACCTTTTCTCTGGCTGCACCGCACTGCTTGCATTTAGAGTCATGATGGTGAGTACAGTCTGTACCTGTTCAGATCTGAGGTTTTATTTAAAGGCTAATTTTGCTCTTTCCTTGAAAAGGACATCTGCCATTTTCCTTTGTGCTGTCACCAGATGTGATTTAATTTGCTCAAGGGTGTGTGTTTTTAACATCTAAAAGAGCGTGGCTGTCTCCAGGAAGTTTCTAGTTTAATGATGCCTACAAAGGAATAAACTACTAGAACAAAGTTTAAGCATGCACTGTGCTAGTCTAGACTGACTGCCTTAGGTCTGGAAAACAGTCTGCTTTCTGGGAGTCTTGCATTTGGGGATGTGGTTTCATCTCTTGTCTGGCAGATTAAAAACATTCAAGTGTGTGTTGCTGTTGAGTTTATCCAGACTATAGTTCTATCTGTTACTGGTGAAGCAGTACTCTTTTTCTCTCTACTGGAGTTTAGATACAAGCACAACTAGGGATTGAGGAGAAAATGGCTTTATCTTGACAAATCTACACTAGTTTTTGGGAAGAGAGCTGATAGGACCAAAACTACTGTTCAATAAGAGTATGTCTAGTAAGAGGCATACCGTTTACGTATATAATGCTGGAACAATGGGTCTAGGAAAACACAGCACTGGTGACAAGAGATGCTGGCTGTAAGACCTACTTACGTTTTCCGGATGCTTGCATGGGTGCGAACAAGTTAATCTTTGAGTGTCTGAGCTGTGCAGCAGGAAAGCAGGACCGAAGGGCAGCTCAGCACAGCAGAGGCCACTTCCTCCCCCGAGCTCTGCCATCAGCTTGATTTGTGGTTTCCGGCTACAGTACACATTCTTTGAAGTTTTTGGCCTCTGCTGGAGGACTTTTTAAGGATGCTAAAAGGGAAAATCTGCTGTGTTACAAAGGACTTTTCAGGTCAGCAACTGCTGCATGTGAGCTGCTGCTGCATGTGCTTTTAATCTCTCTATCCAGATCAGTGAGTGGTTTGAGACTTCACAGGGGGAGTTTAAACATTTTTTTAAGCCATTCTCCACATTCAATGAAATTTCTCTTCCAGTAAAAAAGTGAAGAGTCAAATCCAAATTAACTTATCCTAGACAGTAGGAAATACCTCAGTTTGGACATTGCTGGGAAGGAAGTGTATTTTCCCAGTTGCTGAGCAGGGGGCTGTAAATTAGAAATAGAAGAGCTGCTAAAATACCAGCTATGTAATAAATCAAGCACAAAACAGGAGGAGTGCTCCCAGTGTTACTATAGAAGTATTTAGCTTCTTTCTGTGAAAAAAGAAAAGTCCCCTTGGGTGGCGGTGAACCAGTTGGAAATAGTCTTTGCTGCATTTCTGGTACATTAGAAATTCTGTTTTAAACTGCCTTCTTTCCGAAGGAATAGCAAACTACCTGTTGTATAAGGTCGACAGTTATCGGCAGAAACCAGTAACTAAGGTATCTACCTAAAGGAGGTTCAAGCCATACCATAACACATAGCACTTTTATTCTCCAACTCTCATTTATTAATGCAGACCTGAAAATGACATCCTTGGAGCAATGCTCCAAACCAACAGGAAAAGACTTCTATTTATGAAGTTTTTTTCCACCTTTAATGAAAATGTATCTTATTCCTTCTCCTAGGTTCCTGGTCCAGTTCAGACAAGACAAAGTGTGTGTGAAGTTCATACAAGGCAGCCAGAAAAACGGCAACATCCCAACTTGCAAGCGAAAAAACAATCGGCTTCTTGAAGTGGCTGTCCCTTAACTGCAGCTGGTGGCTCTCCCTTTCACGGACTTGTTTCTTTGTAATAGTGCAATTTTAGTTTTACTGGTTTTATCCCTTTCTGGAGCTGTTGATGGCTAATAGCTTTAGGAAACCCTTGGCAAAACATTCGATCAATCGACTTTTAAATCCTTTTGTTCATACCAGAGTCTTAACCCTCAAAATGCAGATTTTTACCCAGTGAGGCATTTTTAGCAGCTGGAACATACCTGTCATACACAAATCATTCTCTTTGTTTAGCGGTCATATTTTAGTGCAGCATACCATAAACCTACATATTAATGCTAAATTAGTCGTACTCCTTAGTCTAGGGATCTGCTTAACAGGAACTATAAATAGATGGCCTTGATGCTTGGTGGCCATTTGTGCCCAGTGTCATAGAATCATAGAATGGTTAGAGTTCGAAAGGACCTTGAGATCATCTAGTTCCTATTGTGGTGGTGTGAAGGGCTCCTGGCTTGTCACTGCTGGGGAGACCAGCAGGATGGAGGCTGACGCACTAACTCCTGTAGTTAACACTAGGACCTATGTAACTCAACCTTTTAGTCAGTACAGCACAGGAACATCTAATTCTGCAAAACTGATTATACAAGCAGTTATATGCATAATTTTACCATAAAAATGCAAAATTTTGAAACAGGAATTTTAATCAGGTCAGGTATTTTTAATGACTTTATACAGTAGGAATCAGTAAAATTATAAAAGCTTGCTTCTTTCACAAAGGCTATACAGTTCAAGGCATCTTTTCTGTTCTGCTTTTTTCTTTTAAATTATCAGTTAAGATTAGAGCCTGAAAAATGCAATAGTATTCATAACACAAGTAAATGCTAGGTATTTAAACAGTTAGTTTAAAGCAAAAGGTTTGAGCCTTTCTTTTAGATATTGGCATGTACAATGTGCAATAAAACATACGTGACATTTTGTGAAAGAATTATTTATAATACATTTTTGTGTGCAAGAGAGGATTGGTGCAGGCTGCATAGACAGTGTAAGGGTTAAACTAGATTTGTGTTGTTAATTTGCAGTTTTTTAGGGTGTACACTACAGTTGTCAACTTGGGAAGAATACTCAGAATTAAAAAATCGTTAATTTGGGGGTCTGTATATAAATTGTTATGGTAACAAAACTGTTCTAATTCTGTGCTATTTGGTACTCCTACATTATAACCATATTTTTGTACTCCAAACTGTTTTATATAACTTGTGTGCCTGATGTAAATGTGTGCACAGAAAATACAATCAAGAGCTGCATTATAAACTTTCAGTGTAACTGAATGCACTTAATCTTTTATAAGCCAGAAGCATTAGTTGAAATCCTTAAGAGGAGAGATGCAGTTTTAGATAGAAATAACTACTCAAGTGAAGGGTTTATTGGATGTGACTGATTTGTTGATGGAAGAGCAATTGAGAAAGCATTGTATTTTTGCAGTCTGATATAGGACAGATTAAGACCCTGAGTATCTGATGTGAAGTGCTGGAAGTCCAACCATAAATAAAGGAAAGATAAAGAAAAGTTCAGAGTCTCATTACTCTCCTGGTGGTAAAGTGATGTAGTGCTCATGGCTCTGAAGGCTCCTCTGGGTAGTTCAGCATTAAACAGTGTCTCTCCGCACTAAAACGGCATTTACTGCTGTAGATGTTGTATAGTGCTAATGGTTATTGGGCGGAAAAAACAGCTGGGTTGGGTTATGCCATGTTTTGCTTTGGGATTAAAGTGCATATTTTTCTATGATTTGGATACAAAATAATTGTTTTTAACTGGTTGCTTTAATGTTGCTGTTGAAAGGCCATGTACATGACCTTCAAAGGTGGGAGTAAGCAAAAGATACATCTCCCTAACTATGACCAAAAGTTGCCTCTTCCTTGTGATCATAGTTTGAGCCCTTCTTTTACTAATTGAGTTGGCTTAATAGTTTAATAAAATTTAAATAATTTTACATGTAATTAGGGATGTTTATGAAGGAAATCTTGCTATCAATTTGTAATGCAAAATTAGGATACTTCAAAGTGATTACTCCATTGCCTTAAGAAGACAGCATGTAATAACATAGCGTTTGAAACTCCTAAATCCTGTATTAGAATCCCTGCTTGGTAAATGTTGGAAGGTTTGTAAAACTGTTCACTATCTTGAAAACCTTGCAGTAAGGACCACAAGGAGCAAATTTTAAAAATCAACACAAAAGTCAGGAAAAACATTTGAAGTCTGATATAATCCTGTAGTTGCTTGCAGGTAGGAAATGGGAGAGTTTAGAGTAAGTACATGTGGATATGCGGCCCATGAAATTAGGGTATTGCAGGATAATGTTAGGATACTTAACCCATCCCAGAGAGACCCAGCACACATTCCGTTCATGTTTTAGTCTTTGCAGCAAGACATGATAGCCATACCTGCAAAAGACTGGGAGAGGGGTAAATTCCTCACTTTGATTTCTGTTGTTTCTTTTCTTTTTCTGGACCTTTACAAGTTTTACCTTGCATATTAGCTGGCACTTTGTGGTGGTTATTATTTGACACTTAAATATTTCTCACTGTACAGAGCAAGTTTTGCTGGACATGAATTATTTAGATACGCTAGATGAGTCATGGTATCTTGATGTTTAGATTGAAGTATTTAGGATGTTGAAAATGAAAATGTGAGGTCACGTAGGTTTCTTTTCCTCTGTTTTCTTTTATAACTGTCTATTAAATAGTCTTGTAAGGAGCAGAATATTCCTCCTATGGTGCTAACCTTACACGTCCTTTTACTTGTGGATTTTAATCTGTCATCGGAAGGCTTGGCAAGGATCATTAAAGAAAATGAGATTTGTTGCATGAATCTTTCAAGAATCAAATAAAATTCTGTTCTAGACCTATACTTTCTCTATATCTGTATCTTCCTTACTGCCACCAAATCTAAAAAGAGCAGGTTGACTGGGTTTTAGGTTAAAGATGCACAACACGGGTGTGTGACTTGGGGAGAGAAGTTGTTTCTGGTTTTAAGAGGCAGCATGTCTTCCTCAGTGACTCACTGTAGCCTTTTGCAGTGCAGTTCTTCAAGGCAAGTCTTTTACTCAACAGTTTTCAACTTTTCTAACATCAGGATTTGGACTGATTCTCTAAGAACCATATTGAAAGCCAGATTAAACTGATTTTTCAAAAATAGCTTTGAGCCCCAAACCTATCATATTCCACAGTTTGTCTCATGATCTTTTTCTCTCTTTTTATCCATAGCACTTTTGCTCTGATTTATGTATCTTTTTGTTCGTTGTACAAATTATGGAAGAAAGAAACTAAAGCATCAGAAAAAGCATCTTTAGTTTTAATCCAGGTTTGTTTTCATTGCCAAAATGAGAGCCTTTTCCTACATAGTTCTGGGGAAAAAAACTTGAAGAATTAATTCAAAATTTTGATATGAAATGTTTTCCCCACTTGGTGCACATGTTAATTCTTAAGCTTTTAGAGCCTTAATCTTGAAGAACAGCATATTTTCCATAATTATCAGAATGGTCATCGTTATTTTAAGGTTGCACTGTAGTGTGATGCTGATGGGCAGGAGGGGGATACACAGGTCTACGCTTCTTTGGACATTAGAACTTTCCAAGAAGCACACATTTTAAAGACTGAGCTGGAAGTGTTTTATAATGATGCTGTCAATAATAACAATACAGAGAAGCATGAATTTTAAGTAATCTCTGGCATCACTAACAGATAAGGTCTGATTTTTCTCCTGTCGAGCTTCCATCCTTACTGGAGTGTTTTGTAGCTTACACAGATACACATGACTGTGAGTGGAAGGGATAAATCTTTACTAACTTTTGTAAAACCCCTCAGAGTGATCAAAGTTCTCTGGAAACTGCTTTTAATAATGTGGTTTAAAATAATCACATGTTATGTCAGTGCCCCATGGCCTTCCAGTTAAATGTAACTAAAGGTTATTGGCATGTAGCATCATCTTGTAGGCCTTCGAGCATGATATTTACTAATTGGCATTACAGACCTGTCTCTCTGAAATTGTGTGATCTGTTAAGTATTTTCAGGAGACTTCAGGCAGTAGCATCCTCCCTCCAACACTTAGGGATGGGGCAGCCACAGCTTCTTTGGGCAACCTGAGCCAGTGCCTCAGCACCTTCACAGGGAAGAATTTCTTCCTGATCTACATCTCCCCTGTCAGGTTAAAGCCATTCCCCCTTGTTCTGTCCCTACAGGCCCTTGTAAAAGTCCCTCTCCAGCTTTTTTGTAGGTCCCCTTTAGGCACTGGGAGCTGCTCTAAGGTCTCCTTGGAACCCCCAGGCTGAACAAGCCCAACTCTGTCTGCCTGTCGCCATAAGAGAGGTGCTTCAGCCCTCAATCACCCTTGTGGCCTCCTCTGGACCTGCTCCAACAGGCTGGTGTTCTGTTGGAGGTCCCAGAGCTGGATACAGTATCCCAGAGAGCAGACTAGAGGGGCAGAATCACCTCCCTCGACCTGCTGGTAGTGCTCCTTTAGATACAGCCCAGGACATGGTTGGCCTTCTGGCTGCAAGCACACACTGCCAGCTCATCCAACACCCTAAATCCTTCTCAGGTCTACTCTCAATCCAGTCTCTGCTCAGCCTGTATTCATGTTTGGAATTGTCCTGTCCCAGGTGCAGGACCTTGCACTTTGCTTTGTTGAACTTCATGAGGTTTGCACTAGCCCACCTCACAAGCATGTTGAGGTCCCTCTGGATGGCATTCCTTCCCTCCAGCGTATCAACCGAACCACACAGCTTGGTGTCATCGGCAAACTTGCTGAGGATGTACTCAATCCCACTGTCCATGTCAGCAACAAAGGTTGAATACTGCCAGTCCCAATACCAACCCCTGAGGAACACTTGTCACTGGTCTCCACCTGGGACACTGAGCCATTGACCACATCTCTGAGTGTGACCATCCAGCCAATTCCTTATCCACCAAGCGGTTCATCTGTACTGCTCAATCAGCAGCACTGAATCCCTCAGTTCTTCCCACTCTTGAAGCAAGAGGAGGATTATAGAGGGTGGAGGATTGTGGTGAATTCATAGTTGCTGTTAATAATTGTTGTAAAAATGTATTTAGGTTGGGGCAGATTTGCATTGGCCATTCTCAAAAATTAGCTGGAATGCAAACAGGAAAAAAGTGCTCCTGCTTATTTGTTGTTTTTAAGGAAACACATCACTATGTCATATCTGGCTGTATTTGTCTATAGTAAACTAGTGCTATTTAAAGGATTGGGGCTGCGAGAGGGATATCAACTTCATCCAGTTACCAGCTAAAACCAGTTCTGCTCTTGTTCCCTTGTGCACATGGATGAGTTGGATATTTGGGCTTTAACTTAAAATGAGAGTTAGGACAATTTGAGACCACTGCAGTTAACTTTGATTATGATCAATTACTGAAACTGAGTACTAAAAGATTTTTAAAGACAGATTCCCTCTCTCCTTCATCCTAAACTAAGACATCTGATGATGAATTGACCAGGCAGCATTTTGAAGTAGGAAGCACAAAAAGTTTTATACATGAATGAAAAGAAAATGTGAAGAATCTGAATATCTCTTACTAATTCAACTGATTTCCAGAGCTGCACACTGCATTACCCCAAGGTAAGGATCTCTTTGCTGTATAACATTCTACTGTTTATGCTCTGTAATTATTAGAGAAAAGATAAAACCTAAATATTCCTCTGGCCAGGGAATCTTCTTCCCTGGAAACCTGGCAAAGTGCTAGGGACCTGCATGGAGTCCTTCTGTAGGAGTCCTTGGCCAGACCCCTGGGACTTTATTGACCAGGCTCTCCTTCACTCTCTGAAGTACCAGATGCCTTCTGGGATGCTCTCTGAAAGTGAGTGGTAATGCTTTTTGCCACAAGGAATGGTGATTTCTACTGGCTTGGCAATGTCCCTTCTGGACATTGCAGATCTCTTCCCCACCACTATCTTGATGCTGAGTGGTCTCAGAGATGCTGGGTGCCATTCCCCACTCTGGCTCTCATTACATTCCAGTTCCATCCTGCCTCTGGCATTCTCTGCAGTGATAAAGGGAGATGTCTCCAGGGTAAAGCAGCAATGTATTCTTTTAGGGTTTTTTTCTTCCATTATCTACCACTGAGTCTTGGTGCTTTGGTTTCAGCTGAATATACAGGAAATGTTTTATTTCCCTTCTAACCAAGAGCTGTTTTTAATGAAAGATGCTTTGTTCCCTTTCGAGTTAACTCGCTAGCTGTATCAGTATCACCAGTGTTTCCCAAAACTGGCAAAAAACAAAACTGAAGCCTGAAACATGAAAAGCTGCTGTTACTATGTGCTCTGTTTCTTCTTATTAGAATAGAAATTCACTTGAAGTGATGTTGTGATGAAGTCCCTGCTGGCTTGATTCATGCACACAGCCTTCAAGGTTGCTGTGTATGCATCTTGTAGCCTGAAAAAAGGAATCCATCAGAATATGAAATAGGTAGTTTCAAACTGTGGTGCCAAAGAGAGGGAATTCATTTATATTCAGATGTAAAGGAGCATTAAATAGCTGTGAATACACCTATATGTGCTTTTACTTGGCTGTATGCTGCTATAGCTATGGAGAAGAGAACTTGGCGTAAGTTTAACCATGAAGGCTCCAATCAGAGATGTTGAAAGCAATGCTGTCTGATCAAAATCACCATAAGCTACTGATAATTATTAAAAATTAAATGTTAAAGTCCAAAAGTTGTGGATGAGCTTGCAGTGGAAAATCCTAAATGTTGACTGCATCCTAAACTTCTCAACATTGTACGGAGACTGTGGCCTTGTGATGGCAGGTTCCTAAGTTTTCATGAGCTGTTCTGGGGATGATGCAAAAAATAACACCATCAGCTATTTCTGATACAGGAAAAAGGTGTCTATTTCAAACCAACAGCAAACTCATTGCAATATAAACTTAAGGCTTTTTCTAGCTCACAATCAACCCATTACTGGCACAGAGACGTTCTTCCTGAGCAGCCTCTATTTGAATGCTCTATGTAGAAAGCACTGCTCTATTGACAGCATGTGATGACCCACATGTGCTTGGCTCCTGAGCACCACATGGTCCTGGAATGTGGGTTTTGATCCTACCTGGGTGGTTCTCTTCCTTTTTTTGAGGCAGAGGTAAGATTTCTTGGAGTAAACCCAGTAAATAAAAGAACAAACTGGAAAGGAAGGATGGCTGAGAGCCAGATCCATGCTTCAAGTTTCAGTCCCATTTTCAGGCTCTTCTCTACAAAGGGGGTGAGGAAACCCTTGTCAAAAAGAGGGAAGGCATCTTCTCCAGCTGCCAGGCCCTGGGATTCTATGGGTGGGGATGCTATGCAGTGTCTTCCTCCAGGCAGGGTGGAGTAATGCCTGGGGCAGATTTGATCTATTTCTGTGTTACTGAGCTAATCCTGGTCCATGGTGTTATTTAGAGGCTTCCCTTGGAGTAGCTTTCTCCTCACACTCAGTTTTGCACTGCCAGATGTTCCTTTCTCTCACGTAACCCCAGTGTGTCCTTTTCCCAAGACATCTCTGCCCATCTCTGACAGGGCTTGGTCACACTTGTGGGGCAATTTCTAGAGACTGGTGGGATGTAAGGGGGAGCAGGAAGGGCAATCAAATCCAAAGCAGGGTATGGGTAAGAGGCGTCCAGAAAAGGTGCTTGATTTACAAGACATCAGGAGTTTGTTAGGGATACCTAAATAGTAGGCTAGTGGCTAAAGGGGGCCTACAAGAAATCTGGAGAGGGACTTTTACCAGGGCATGTTGTGACAGGACAAGGAGGAATGGTTTTAAACTGTCTTTATAAGAGAGCAGATTTAGATTAGCAATGAAGAAGAAATTCTTCCCTGTGAGGATGCTGAGGAGCTGAAAGAAGGTGCCCAAAGAAGCTGTGG